AGAGGTAGTTTTAAGAAGGGTGAATACATACGTTAGGATTTGTTATTCTCAGCCTTCTGAGACTAAGTAGTAATTAGCTACTTTTAAGGGTGATGAGAAGTACCTGGGTAGTGCAAACGGTTAATGTGCCCAGCTGCTAACCTGTTTCACTGGTACTCAGATGCATTTTTACAAAAATCCATTCTGAGGTTTACCTGAAACCTCTGGGTATTCTCAGAGTGGGACACTTGCAGAAAGGAAGGAGCAGGGGTGTAGTAAAATAATGGGGGGAGGGGCGTGGAATGAACTAGCGGAGAGGGTGGAAAGAAAAACGGCAGACCAGACCTCGGACCCAAACTGGACTGCCCGGCTCCTTGTTGCTAGGGCCGCCAGCGTCCTTGGTTACCGCTCTGGTAACACGTTCTCTCTCCCAGGAGTCCCCAGCCCCGCCCCGCGCAGCAGAAAGGTGCACCGACTGACGCGTGCTCTAGCTTCTTGGCGATCTGGGTCGGAGACCGTGGTCCCCGTTAGGAATCACAACTGCGAGGGTTTTACAAAGCAGCCACTCGACGCCAGCCCTAAAAAAATCTCCGCCCAGAAGGAGAAAATGGGGAAAGGAGTTATTGCTTAAGCTGTACAGAGTTTTTGTTTAAGGGTAATGAAAAAATATTTGGAAACGTAGTAATTGTTGCACAATATGGTGAATGTAGTTAATGTCACTGAATTGTACATGTAAAAATGGCTGAAATGTTTTGTTAGAGCTATTTCACCACCAAACTTTTCTTTTTTTTTTCTTAAAAATAATAATAAAAAGAAACCCCCGCCCAGGACTGTGCAGGGAACTAGAGAGAAGGCGGGCCCGGGTATTCCCCAACCAGACTTACGCTGTACTCCCTCAGCCAGGAGTCGAGCTTCTCCGGCAGTGATCGTAAAAATTCGTTCGAGACTAGTTTCCTCAGGTTGTCTGCCATCGCTCGCTTTTCCGCTGGCCCCGCTCTGAGAGATAGAAACTTGGAAGGGCCGAGCCGGGGGCGTCCGAGGTACTGTAGGGTGGAATGGCGGAAACGGTGTTATCTTCCTGCGGGGCTCAGAGCTTGGCTGATGTTTCCATCCTCCCCCTCGCGTCGGACGGGGCCGGGTTCGGGAAGCCGGGGGGAGGTGCCCTGGGCCGCAGCCGCCACGCCTCATCCGCTGCCCGGCGCGATCTCTGTGCTACCGGGCGATTGCCCGGGAGCCCGGGCCCTAAATACCCAGGCGATGATTAAACAAACCCTGACGTGGGCGGTGGCTGCCAGGGACGCGCGCTTCCCGCGTCCTGGCAACGCTAGCTCTGCGCCCCCCTCTCCGGCGCCCTCCCACTGCCTCACCGGCGGGGGACCCGCCTGGGCGCGCCATGCTTCTGCTCCTGGTGCTGCTGCTCTTCCTCCTGATGGTGTTGGTACTGCTGGTGATTGAAGGCGAGGGCGACCGAAGTCACTGAGACTCTGGGTTGAGCGGGGGCTAGGGGGCACCAAGATCCCTAATGGCGGCGGCTGGACCCCTCGCTGGCCGAAGCGCTTCGTAGCGGAAGCTGGAGGCCCAGAACTCTCCTCCCGACCCGGAGTTCAGGGCAACAAGTCGCATCTAGAGAATCAAGAGTTATTTCTCCATAAAAGTGTTTGGTTAGGCTCTCCTGAAAGTTCCTGTTTGGATCCTTACTGTATTCTTCCACCTCTCATACTTTTATTAAATCTTCATTTGTAGGACCCTAGGGTTTACTTGTTTGAAACTTGTTGTAACTAAAATTTCAGTTCTTCCAGCTTCTATTTTTTGCTTTGTTCCTTGGCCCTGGGCGGAACAAGCGGATTTTAGCTCCAGGATGTTCACAAATAAACATTAATTCTTTGGACAAGATTTGATAGTATATTTGTAGAATTATTGATCCCTATAAAGCTTCATTAAATTTTGAATTCTCTAATTAAGACTGAAAGATCAGGCCCGGTTTGTCGCTATTTCAAACGAGTATTAAAGCACAGTGATAATTTGAATTAGACATTAAACCATTTCAACTATCCTTAAGAACTTCAGAAGCCCTTGTTCTAAATACCATCAGATGATGTGCTGGATTGCAAATCATTCTTATCTATTCATTAAACCATTGTGGGTAGAACAGGGTCTCAGCTATTTAGTTAGCTGGCTTAACTCAGGTTTATTTTGAGCATACTTGAAGATATATGAACATCACATATATGTAAGTACTGTAAAATTCAGAATTTTCACCACTTCTCGTTTCTATTTTTCTGAATTATAGTGGTCTTACTGTCCTTTAATGAAAATGAAAGGCTCATTTCTAAAGCCTGTGTCCCTGCTATTTTTTTGTAGATCACAAAATAAGGGCTATAAGGGTACATAATTGTTATTATCATAGTAAAAGATTACTAAAGTAAAAAAAGAAAAGGAGCCCTGGTAGCACAGTGGTTAAGAGCTACAGTTGCTAACCAAAAGGTCAGCAGTTTGAATCCCCCAGCTGCTGCTTGGACACCCTGTGGGGCAGTTCTACTCTGGAATCCACTTGTCCTATAGGGTCACTATGAATCCAAATCCACTCAACAGCAACAGGTTTGGTTTGGGTTAGTGCTCATTCCTAGCTGTGGACACCTTAATTAGCCTCTAAACCTTGGTTTCTTCATCTGTTAAAGGGAGACCATAGTTCCTACTTCATAGAAATATTATGAGAATAAATAAGATAATTCATGTACTTAGCACAGTGCTTAGCATATACTGTAGTAAGTGCTCAAAGAATACATGATCACCATCACTAGGAATGTTGATCACAGTATTATATTTAATAGAGAAAACCTGGAAACAGTCTAAATCTCCATCAGTAGGGGTGAGCAAACCATTTAACGAAACATTGCATAATGAAAATCTTGTTACTGAAGAATATCTAGTCTGTAGAAATTCTCACTATATAATGTTAAGAGAAAAAAAAACAGGGCACTAAATTGTGTATATTGTATTATATTGTACAATATGAACCCAAGGCATAATTATTGGTGATTTTAATTTGCTCCTTTATGCTTTCCTGATTTTCTAAATTTCTACCATGAACATGAATTGCTTTTATAGTAATTTATTGAGAAAGAAGTTATAAAAATGGCAAACCCAGAAACTTTACCACCTCAGAAAAGTGTTAGCCAAAATATCAATATTTAAGCCGCTGACCCAAAACAATATGCTTTGACCAAATTTCTATACTATAATTTAGTAATTAGACTCATAGTCTTAGGATAGAATGGATCTTTAAATCACCTTAGAATATGCCTGATATTATTTATGTGTACATATGTCCTAGCCCTACAATTACATCCAAGACCCTTAAGGCCTGGAGTCATTTCATAAACCTCTTGGTTTCCCTACAAACCAGCAGCATGTCTTGTTCATAGCAGCAACTTTGTATTTATTGATAACAAAGAAGCATTGGGTTTCTACTCAGTGACTAAAAACAAATGTCTTATTTATTTATTCACTGTGTATCCCCATTACTTCCAAAAAGTAGTGGGAAGATCACCTAGAAAGAAAGGCCTGGCACTCTACTTCTGAAGATCAACCAATGAAAACCCTATATATCACAACCCATTCTGGGGACAGTGCAGGACCAGGCAGCATTTTCGTTCAGTTGTGCATGGGGTCGCCATGAGTAGGGGGCCAACGACAGCAGCGAACAACAACTTCCAAGAAAGGATCTGAGATGGCTTAGAGTAAAAGATTTGTTAGAAAAGAATTTTTGTTTTTAAGAGAGACAACACAAATAAGCCCCAAATTTAAGCTTGTGTTTATGTACTAAGAGTGAGCTTCATTTTACACTTGTTTCTGGGCTTTGTGGAAGGCAAGGCAGAAAGGAAAATGAGTTTTATGATTATTATTTTTTTATTAGATTTTAAAAGTACATGTGCCAGTTCTTTGAATGGAAAATATTAAATAAGTAAAGATTCTGTTTAGAGAATATATTGATGTTCTAATTTTGTCCCAGGGGGCAGTGATGGTTCAGTGGTAGAATTCTCACCTTCCATGCAGGAGACCCTGGTTCAATTCCTGGCCAATGCACCTCAGGATCAGCCACCACCAGTCTATCAGTGCAGGCTTTTGTGTTGCTATGGTGCTGAACAGGTTTCAGTGGAGGTTCCAGACTAAGAAGAAAGGCTTGATGATCTACTTCCAAAAATCAGCCACTGAAAACCCTATGGATCACAATGATCTGATCCCATTGTACATGGGGTCACCATGAGTCGGGGCCAACTCAATGGCAGCTAACAACAATTTTGTCCCAATTTGATTATTTTAGGATACTCTCAACTAGATGATTTTTTGGAAAGAAAAAATAAAAATGAAACCTTTTATTTACGATACACCATCAGATATCTTGGATAAGTTCAAAGAACACTAAACTTGGAACATGAACACCATTGCTTTATCTCACACTCTGCCAATTTGTGTTTTCTCACGATATTACAGAAGTCTTTAATCATTCTGAGCCTCATTTGTTCATTCTATAAAACGAAAAATGTGTACTAGATGAGTTCTAAGATTTCTTGCAGTTCTGACATTCTTTAATACTGTTTTTAAACATGGTTAGGTTCAGGGTTGAACAAATTTTGCCCTTTGCTTCCATTTTTGGCTCACAGTTCAGTTCAGGTCAAGCCCTGATTCCAAGTGATTAGCCGATCACCAAAAGTTGAGCACCTTTCTTGAGTACAATTTTTCTGCAGTCTTGCTGGAATAATTAATATGCGTAACCTCCAGTAAATAAACGAGGATTTCTCTACAATTGCACTTTTAATACATTAAACTTAGCTTAAACTGACAAACTTTCTCTAACTCTTCCAACGCCTCAGAGCTCATCACTCTCTCTTTATGCTCTCTCTCTTTAACTTTTGGACACGTTAGTATTGTTGCTCCTGGTGGTGCCGTGGTTAAAGCCATCTATTGCTAATCGAAAGGTTGGTGGTTCGAAACCACCAGTGGCTCCTCGGGAGAAAGATGGGGCAGTCTACTTCTGTAGAGATTTACAGCCTTGGAAACCCTATGGGGTCTCTATGAGTTGAAATCAACTGACAGCAGTGGGTTTTTGGAATAGTGTTGCAGTTATCACAGTATATTTTACGTATTCATCTGCCTCCTTTATAAGCTTGTGAGCGTCTTGAAGGAAAGGACAGAGGTTTATCTGGTTTTATATCTTCAGCACAGAACCTGACACATACTAGACCTTCTATAAAAGATAGCTAAACTAAATTCTTAATAAAAAGAGAAAGAAATGAAGGAAGAGAAGGAGGGAGAAACGGGGGAGGGAGGGAGGAAGGGAATGATTGGCTGCTTTATATCTGATGTCATAATCCCACTGAAGTAAAAAAAAGCAAATCTAACAGCCTGTTGGTTGATCTTTTGGTGTTACAATTCTACCAACCAGCCAGGAGCCCTTTGTTCTAGAAAAGTGCAATATGTCAAACAGATGGAATAGGCTTTCTGAAAGTACTTAATTTTGTCCACTCTAAATTTTACCTACATCGGTCAACTGGAGAGATTTTTTCATTTGGGATTTTAAGAAGCCAACAAGATTCAGCAAATCCACTCAGTGAAGTGTGTATGAGTTCACACTCACTAAACACATATGCAGTAAGCTACAAGGATATACAGTGGGATCCTCATTGTAATTTCCAGTTCTTCCTAACTCAAGACAGTTGCAAACCCTTAGCCAGTGTCGCTAAAGGAATAGTCTGTGCTCTGCTTTGGCCTGGATTCCTTTTCAGGCACCCTGATCCTCTTCTGTGTGTGCCAGGCTATTCTTGTCCTACAGCTGTCTATGTTAGGATTTTTAGTCTTTGGATCAGGGCCTATATTATTATTTGAAGAAAGTCTTTTAACCTTTGCTGACCCACTTGCATGAAGTTCCCTTTAAATACAGTCTTTATCAGTGCTATTGCTAAGGCACTTTGTCTCCACTGTCAGGAGCGAAATGCTAGCTGCTTGGTGATTACCCCAAAACAGCTTCTTTGTTCATTTATTCAGTGTTGTCTAAACCCAGTGCTCTACGTTCTCATTTTATGAGCTTCATTTTGTGCTTTGTTTTGTTCAGGACTTGAAACAAACACAGAAGTAGTAACACATGGTCCCTGCTTTGTAAAGAACTTGAAGTCTGGTCGAGAGCAAGATATATGTGCATGAAAAGTAAAATAACACAAGGTAGTGTGTTATTAGCCATCTGCTTCCAAAAAGTCACAGCTTGAAAACCCTATGGAGCAGTTCATTATCAAATGGATGTCATAGCAAATCAGTATAATAACAGGTGTAAACAGAGTAATAATGGGCTGTAATGGTCAGGAAGAGATGGGAGTGAAGTTTGTTCTTAAAGATTGGTAGAACTTGGAGAGATGAATTCACAGACATGTAAGGCAGATGAGCAAGTAAACAATTTCAGTGTAGTGTGATACACGTGATCCTCAGCAGTATGCGCTTAAGGATCACAGAGAGGGGCACAGAAACCAGAAATTTGTGATAGGGAGAAGGATCAAGAAAGACTTCTCAGTGGAGATATCCTTTGAGCAGAGTTTTAGTGGACAAGCAGGAGAATGGCTGGATTGAAAAAGGACAAGTTATCCACATATGCACAGGCACAGAGGCATTATAAATTTAACGAGTTCAAACAAAAATGTGGGAACTGCATATTTTGCACATGGCTGGAGTGGATAAATTTGTGTGAAGGGCAAGAAACATACAAAGGAGGTAGACTGGAACCAGAAAGTAAAGGACCTTATGTGCTAATAGAAAGAATTTGTATTTTATCTTGGAAAGGACTGGAGAATTTTAAGCTTCAGGATGATGAATGACATGATCAGATTTGTGTTTTAGAAAGATCACACTAGAAACTGAGGAAACAGTCTAGAGTGCCTGAGAGGTTTCTGGCTGGATGATGTATCATTCACTAAGGGAACATACGAGAAGCAGATTGGGAGGAAATATTTTGAATTCAGTTTTGTGATGTGTTGAGCTTGAAGTGAATGAAAGTATAAAAGTCTTTGTAATCTGACTAGTACTCCAGTCTTGGGGAGCTCTGCTCTGTACTTCTAAGTGCTAATGATATGCAACAGGCAAAAGGAAATGCAGAATTAAAAGGTATGCCATAGGGTAGAAAGAGCAAAGACTTTATTCAGATGAACTTAGGTTCAGTCTTGTTTTTTTGTTAGTTGAAAAGTTGGTCAACCATTTAACCTGTTAGCCTTGAGTTCTTCATTTGTAAAAAGGGATTATATGACCTATCTTATAAGACTGTTGGGCGAATTAAAGAGACATTGCCAGGCACACAGTGGACTCTAAATATCGTTACTTCAGAAAACAAGTTTGAAGATAATGCATTTGGGAATGATCCACAATAAAGAGATAGTCATGTGAGTATCTTTAAAGAGTACAGTAATTGGCATCAAGGAGAATAATGGGCTATCCTCCCAGAGAGATGGAAACCAGCAATGGGTTATCCAGGAGAAGGTGATCCTTGACAGCCAAAGGGCCACTTGACTTCAGGAAAATCAGTTATCAGGTATCTCACCATCTAAGTGGGAGAGAAGTTGGCAAAATCAAAGGTAAGGCTTCTTTTCCTATAAACTGAGGTATCAGGCAGATTTCTCAGATATTAAGTCTTATTACTATGCTAGGCATTGGAAGTAAAAGGATGAGTAAGATATAGACCTTCCAGATAGAGCTCCCCATTCTTTAGATGAAGTCGACAGATAAACAAGATAAAATGTGCTGCAACCTGGTAAGTCTACAGAAGACTAGGAGCAGAGTTAAGGGACAGACTAACTGCCTGTGGAAGCCTGGCAAGGCTTTGAGAGGAAGTGACATTTGAATGGATTCTTGGAGGATGAATAGGAGTGTGTTAGCCAGAGAAAAAGAGAAGGACTTTACATGCAAAAGAAAAAGAGGCAAAGCATAGGAAGGAAGGATTATATCACAAGAACTGGAGACAAGAACTGAGGATCACTCAAAAGCCCAGTTATCCAAAATGACAAATGGAACCAGAGCCAGACAATTACTCATTTACTGCTTGCTCCCAAAGCAATGGGTTATAAATTCTAGCGTTCTTGCCTAAGATTCAGGCTTGTCCCAGAGATTGGGGCAGGAGTGAGCCTAGAGAAGGGAGTTAAGTGGTTCCAGCACTGGGGAAAGAAGATCGATGATCAGCCAGGTACTGACATTAGCCAAAATCAGGGAAGAAAAAGGAAAAAGATTACGAGGGATTTACTAAGTGCCAAACCAAACCAAACCCGTTGCGATCGAGTTGATTCCGACTCATCATTTCCTAGGCTATAATCTTTAGGAGAGCAGACTGCCACATCTTTCTCCCGAGGAGTGGCTGGTGGGTTCGAACCGCCAGCCTTTCTGTTAGCAGCAGAGCACTTTAACCAGTGTCACCCGGGCTCTTTTACTATGTGCCAGATTATCTAGTTTAAACTTCACAGCAGTCTTCTGATGTAAAATAGGCAGAGTAGCGAGATAACTGTTCCAGTTACCAAAAAGCAAAATTGATCTAGTTCCTAGAGAAAGGAAGCCTTGGCCAGCTGGTTCCGTTGGTGCTTCCGTCGGAGTTGGGCAGCTGGAGGGCCCAAAGGTGTTTTCTAGGAGTGATTTCAGCTCCATGAGGAACACTAGCACGTTGGTTGCTACTGCCCTCATTGCATTTTTTTTTTTTTAACTAAGAATATTAGTCTATTGTATTGACGACAGGGAGCAACTAAGGTGTATTCAAGCGACTAGTACAGTTGAGTGGCTTCCTGGTGTGCAGTAAATACCTGATAAATTAGGCTCCCAAGGATATACATTGTCAACACTACCTCCAACAGCAAGTGGTACTCTCACCCCCAATACCACAGAAAAGAGAATAAGTCTTCATAGTCCCTTCAAAGTTAAGAGGGATTCAATCTCCTCCCTGAGGATTCTTTCAAGACGTTAGCTGCCTAATTTGCAACTTGTTAACTTCTGTCCACGTTATCACCACCCCCGTCCTCGACCACAGGTATTCTCGATAACGCCCCTTCCCACCCTAGTCAGGGAGACCTTGGCCCGTGAGGCAAGGAGAGCGCCACCTCTCCGGATGGCACCAGACCTCCGTGATGGGGATTGGAAGAGAAAGAGCCGTCCTCTGTATTTTGAGGACGCCCTGACCTCGCGTGGAATCCTCATCAGACCCTTTCGGGAAAACGCACCCCGAGGCCACGGTTCTGGGCGCACGGGCTGTGACGGAGCCTAAACCCTCACTCGCGGGTGGCTTCAAATCTCCTTCCCGAGGGTGTGGGCGTGAGCGGCTGGTGTTCCGTAACCCCCCCGCCAAACACCCGGGCGCAGGCGCAGGCGCGTGGGCACTGCTCGGCGGGGAGGGCGCGGCGCTACGGCCGCGGGAAGATGGCGGCAGCTGCGGGTGCTGCGGCGGCGGAGCAGGTTTGTGAGCCCCGCTGCAGTCGGCATTAGAGGAACGGGGAGACCCTGGTCCTGCGCGTGCGGGCGCAGTACGGCCGGCCGACCGGTGGGGCCACGAGGGCAGGCCGGGGGCAGGCTGCGCGGGGCAGGCGGGCCGGGAGGTGCCGTCCGCTGTCCGCAGCCCGAGATGCTATAAAAGCCCGGCGCATCCCGGGCAGGGTCTGGGCCGGGGGCCGGGGCGAGGGAGGGGTAGAAAGCTTTGGTCCTCCGCCTGGCCTGGCTGCCACCTCCGCGAGGGTGAGGAGGGGTCGCCGTCCTCAAACGCTAGGTGGTGGCCGTGCCAGCCTGGAGCCTGCTCCGGGACGTGTTGGGGACGTGCGGCGCTCTGTGGCCAGCGCAGATGCGTGTAAAAATAGTCTCAGCCCCTTGAGCCGGGAGGCTCCCCTAACAGCAGCCAAGAAACGGTCAGCTGTTTTTTCTTGTCTCTGCCATTCTTGATGCCCAGTTATCCCAGGTTCCCCGTCCCTCTTTGGTTTTGGAGATTTAGTCACCAGTATAAAACTGTCTCCTGCTCTGTGGTTTAAAATCTTTTTTAAAAAATGCTTTAATCAAGTATCTCCTGATTTGCAGTATAAACTTGTAATATAGAATACAGGCATCTACTGGGTTACGAACATTCGACTTATGGGACAACTGACTTAGGGACAAGTCGTTCTTAAGAAAGACTGCCATAATACCTGTTAAAAATTTGAGTTAAATACAGTGGTTCATAATAACCATCGCACGCACTTCTTTCATGCTCATGAAAACATTAACCGGTTTGGAAGTGTTTCTTAAGTATTTTAAGTGTATAGAAATGTAAAATATATACTATACACTAAGACAAACATTTGACTGACTGACGCTAAATAAGAAACATATGTACCTGTTCAATTTACCTATAAATTCGACGTGGAAGTCAGACTTAGGAACGGATCTAGTTGGTAACACAGGGATTGGCTGTAGTTTAAAAGGCTTTTCCTTCCAAAGCAAGCTATACATATGCATATATGTGTCTGTAAGTATGTATGTACATATAGATACATACATATAGTTGCTAGGGTGATTTATTATAATAAAACTACTTTCAATAGTAACTTTTTTCTGAATTGTTTAAAAAATATTATATGATAGTTTCTCTTGAAAACGTCTAATTCTTCAACATTGTTGAAAAAATATGATTCAAGTTCAAAATTGTTTGACCTTTGGAAGCGTTTTCTTAGATAACTAATTGTAAAGACTATTAGATCTGTGTCACTGGAGGAGTCATTCTAAGGGGCATAAAAAGTAGAAGACATGAGCTCTGCCCTCAGGAAGCTTAAAATCAAACTGCCAAGTAAATGCAGAAAAACCAGCTAAAGACTATAGGCAAGCTGTAGATTCATAACATTAAGGTAAATTGTGAAGGAATGAGTGAAAATGAAAGAAGGCAAAGCTCTTTGGAGTTGTTGAGATAAAACTGTTCTTGGCTTTCCTGACTTCCCTCTGATTTATCAGCTTCTGTTTTAGACAGTTCTTTTTCCATCTACCTCATACATATTAATGTTCCTTGATGTTTTTCTTCTGCAGAGCGGAGCCACTGGGTGAATTTGAACCTTTCAGTTAGCATCTACGCGCTTAACCGTTTCTGCCACCTTGTTAAAAGGGTTAGAACCATCCATTCTCTTCGTTAACCTAGCCTGAAACTTGGGAGCAGGGCAAGCTTAATGGGCAAGTGACCTGTCCAGTTCACCTGTCCCATACTCAGAGGGGACCTGTGCTCTGCCATCCCAGGCTTGATATTTGAACAAGGGGCCCCACATTTTCTTTTTGCTCAGGATCCTGCAAATTATGGAGCCAATCCTGCCTGGGAGTCATCTTGGACCCCTTAGTATCATCTTTATATCTAATCAGTCACCAGGTCCTGTCCATTCTGCCTTATATACCTCTCCCCCATATCCTCTTCATCTCCAATGCCATAGCTCAGTCAGATCCTCATTTGCAGTGTTAGCAAAACCTGCTGTTGATATCTTGGTCTCTAAACTGTTCTACTCCAATCATTTCTTTTTGGTTTAATTTTGCTACAGTACAATGCAAATTGTATCACTAACCTATTTGAAATCTTCAGTAGTTCCCTATTACCTTCAGGATAATGTCCATTGCTCTTGAGATGATAATGATGCCCATTCATTTATCATGTCTCGCATCTCATTTTTTTCCCCATTCTTATATTCATCCCCCTCACTACCCACATAAAACTACCAAAATTAGTTCCCCCAGAAGATAACTTGTGCTCAGTGTCTCCATGATGTTCCCTCTGCCCAGAATATCGTTCTGTTTTTTTGCCTGGCTGCCTCCTATCTATCCTCCAAAATTAAACTCAAACCTCAGCCTTTCTCAGAAACCTTCATTGATGCCCCTTGCCTGCTAAATGAAGCTGTGTTCCTCTTCTATACTCTTTCAACATTGTATGCATAGCTCTACTACAGAACTTAGCATGTTGGATCGCAGTTGTTAGTGATCTTACCTGTTTACCCTACTGGTCTGTAAGTAAGCTCCTTGAGGGTTAGCAATTAAAACTGAGAAATTTTTACACAAACACACATTCCGTTAGCCCTTAAAGTGATGAGATCATCACATATGGTCATGTAGCCTCTGGAAAACTCTGCTGCACACTCATGAGAGAATGAGAGTAAAGGCAAATAAATGTCTTGGTATTATTTTGAAGGTATGTTTGACCTTCCAAGCCCCTGAATGGTTCAGGGAGACCCCCCACCCCAGGACTCCCCAGCCCACACTTTAAGAACTACTAGTCTGTATCTCTCTCTCTATATATATAATAGGAGCCCTGGTGGTGCAGTGGTTAAAACAATCAACGGCTAACCAGAAGGAGAGCAGTTTGAAACCACCAGTGGCTTCACAAGAGAAAGATGTGGCAGTCCACTTCCATAGAGATCTACAGCCTTGGAAGCCCTATGGGGTTGCTATGAGTTGGAATCGACTGGATGACGGACTAAGATGGTGATAGTTTTAGTCGTTTGCAGTGATAAACAACAACATGTGTCAGCCTTCCATATCCTTTTCATATAAATGAAAAAATAGATAAGTTAAAAGATTAGTAAATAATAAAAATAAGTTTACTCACTGTAGGATGTATATGTCAACTCTGCCCAGAAATGAGCTGTACACTTTGTTGACAGTAGGACTATTAAAAGCAGAGAAGGAAAATACGTTATCAAATAGTCACACTGATGGTTCTTCTATACTACTCCCTCTAAGCACAGTAATGTCTTTACTTGGAGCCTGCAACCAGTATGACAGGTAGTTTACATGACTTGTAGTTTATTAGTGGAAAAATATCACTAACCAATTCAGTTTCCTTTAGTTATGAATTTACACTTAATAAATAAATGCATCAAAAGGCGAGGGGGTAGCTGTTTCACTGTGCTGTATTTTGTTTTTAGCAAAGTTCCAATGGTCCTGTAAAGAAGTCTATGCGGGAGAAGGCTGTTGAGAGAAGGAATGTTAATAAAGAGCACAATAGTAACTTTAAAGCCGGATATATTCCAATTGATGAAGATCGTCTCCATAAAACAGGATTGAGAGGGAGAAAGGGCAATTTAGCCATCTGTGTGATTATCCTCCTGTTTATCCTGGCTGTCATCAATTTAATTGTGAGTAGATGATACAGAATATTCTTTTTTCAATTACCATGGGTGGGTTTTCATCTGTTTTATAGCGAAATCATTGACTTTGTTTCTATTTCTTTCACTACCGGCTTACTTTCTGCTTCCTTATACATATGTTATATCTTTTATTGAATTTTAATTTTTTTTTATATAAAAAATCTAATGTGCTAATATTTCCATGTATTACTTCATTTGGGAAAACATGTTCATGGATTCTTCTATTTAAAGGACTTACTTTTAATAAGGGTAGTGTGAACTCAGTAGAACAGACCTTTGCCAGGATGATTTTATTGCCTTCAACTTTCCTAAAAGATATAATGCTTTCTGTTTTCATTCAACTTTTACTGCACGTAGTCTTGCCTCCTCAGCTAGATTTTTAAATTGCACAGTAAGTGGTTGTATTTTGTAGTCCTAAGTCCCTACTGTCAAAGTATGAAAGGATCCGGTAGACTAATTCACACTAAGGTGTTGAGGACCTAGTATATTGCCTTTTCCAAAGAAAGTTGCCTTTCTAAAAAGGAAGACTTTTTAATCTAAGGTTGTGACTGTGAAATCCTCTGGCATGTGCATGGCTGTTTTCAGGGAGAGTAACTACTGGTATACCTACAACAGAGTTTCTAAAATGATTCCATTTATGTTATTTCTGTCTTCTAATATGCTCACAAAGATCCCTGGTGGCGCAGTGGTTACAAACTTAGCTGCTAACCAAAAGGTCAGTGGTTCAAACCCACCAGGTGTTCGTTCTGTGGGAGAAAAAACCTGGCCATCTGCTCCCGTAAAGATTACAGCCTAGGAAACCCTATGGGTCGGTCTTGCTCTGTCCTGTGGAGTCTCTGTGAGTTGGATTTGACTTGATGGCATACAACGATAATACTCCCAAACCAACCATTTGCATTTTATATACATCCATTCCTCCCTTAAATTGGGAAGAGCTGGTACTATTCATTTTATAGTAGTACTATAACTAGCTTTACTAGGAGCACATATCTTGGATTTATTTTATGTTGTAAATTTATCTCATTGGAGACTTCTTGGTTTAAGATGGCAGAATAAAGTCATTTTCTTCTCCTTTAAAAAGCTCATCCCAAAGCAACAGGGTCAAGAAACAGAACTATCTTTGAGGAAACTGGGAGACAGCTGAAACTGAACCATAATGAAGACAAAATGAAGGAGGAATGGCAAATAATTTATCAGAGAGGAGAAACTTTAGTTCTAACTGCTTGTGTGTGTGTGTTGGGGAGGAGGGTGTGGGTGTGCTGGTGGAAGTGCCACACAATCCTGAAAAGCCTCAGGAACTGGAAGTACCAGTACCTTGGAAAGCAGGGCTGAGGCAGGAACTGAAAAGAGAGAGCTTGTTTGAAATCTCTAAGAAGCTGTGAGATCCTCAGGCCTCCTTTCCCTTTCAGTCAGCAGTTAGATAACTGCCCCTCCAAGCCCCCCATAGAACTAGAGGTCTGTTCTCTAGGCACACTGAACCAGGAGGATTCTGCATAAGGGTATTGCACAGAGGGGATGGAGGTGGGTTTCCATGGGAAAGCAGAGAAGTCGGAGTAGTGAGCAGTGAGATGGCCTTTCCTGTGCTCCCTTGCCCCATCCTCCACCTCCAGACCCTGGCAGCCAGGCCTGTGTTCCTCAGGCAAGAGATAGGTGAGCCTTCTCTGGAAAACTGAAGCACCGGAGAGAAAAACTCTCTGAGGATATTGACATTTGGCAGGTCCCAGTGAAAAAACCATGTAATCTCCCTACATGAAGTCACAAACTCCACCTACATAGAGAACTTCCTGTGGGCTTTTTACAGCCTCGCATTAAATATGAACACCGAGCCAGGGATCAATAGATTTTTGAGGAAAACTAGCAGAATTGAAGAGTGATAGAGACCAAAACACTCATACCAGGGGAGGGGGTGTAGGAATTCTGAGAGAGAAAATGAAAAGAATGGCAGAAAACTTTAAAACAAAACAAAACAAAACAAAACCTAAACTGAACTGAATCAATATCCTCAGGGAAGTAAAAGGATATTGTATCCATGAAATAAAAATAGCATGCCATTATAAAGGAACAATTAAAGAATAGGATGAACTCATGGAAAAATATATGTGTATGTGTGTATTTATATATGTATATATAACCAGTTGCCATTGAGTCAACTCCAACACATGGTGACTCTGTGCGTGTCAGAGAAGAACTGTGTTCCATAGGGTTTTCAATGGCTGATTTTTTGGAAGTGGATCACTAGGCCTTTCTTCTGAGGCACCTCTGGGTAGACTCAAACTGCCAAACTTCAGTTAGCAGCCAAGCACATTAAATGTTTGCACCACCCAGGGGCTCCATATGGAGCCCTGATAGCTCACTGGTTAAGAGCTTGGCTGCCAGCCAAACGGTCAGCAGTTCAAACCCACCAGCCACTCCCTGGAACCCTATGGGGGAGTTCTACTCTGTCCTGTAGGGTTGCTGTGAGTTGGAATTGACTCAATGGCAATGGGTTTGATTTTGGTTTATATATATATATATATATATATATGTATATATGCATATATACATATATAGAGAGGAGAGATTCAAAGATAAAGAAAAGCAACTCTTCCTAAAAGTTCAACAAAATTAAAGAAATCATTTGATAGAAATGTATACCAGGCTAGACTATCAGTCAAGTGTGAAAGATTATAAAGACAGTTTTGATTGTGCACACTCCAAAAAAAACTAACTTCCCCATGAGTTCTACCCAAAGAAGACACTAAACCAACAAAGCTGAAGACAATGGTCCAGGAAACTGGGTATCTAGCACAGGAGAGAGAGAAAAGGAAGTTCCAGCGTGAAAGTGAAGGTAAAGTCCATGATTACAGCTGTGCAGCAGGCTCGGAGAGTGACCAGCCCAGACTGGAGCAGGAAGTTAGGAGTTCCAGAAAGATTTCCTGGGGGAGAAATATAAAACTAAGGCATTACCTAAGAGATATGGCCTTATAAAAGATTTTACGGAAATGTTGAAGGGTTTGAAACAATTTAGTCAAATTTTCAAAGAAACTAAGCAAATTAAAAAAAAGACAAATGTTAAACACTATGAAAAAAAAAGTACAAGAAAGGGACTGTAATCATAGTACACTATTTGGCTTAGCACTGAGCAATATTTACATGGTCATAACACTGAAAATACTGAACATGGATTTAACCAAAACTTGCAATTGGAGTTTGGGGAAGAAGAGGAATAAATAAGCTAAAAATTTTATCTGCCAAAATAGGAAGTTAATAGATAAAACCTAAAATTTATGAATGAAGAAATAGCAAAATGTATGTATTATTTAGAAATATGGAAATAAATTCTAGATGAAATAACTATCATTTTCGAGATGCGGAGGGGGTAGAAGAAATAAGGGACTGCTCTTTTTTTTTAATTATACACCATTTTTAGCACTTCTTGACTTTTAGCTATTTGCATGTAATAAATACTTTGATAAAAATAAAATTGGTTTTGTTTATAAGTAGAAAACCAATTGATACATCCATCGAGATGATGAAACATGTTAGAAAGTCTTTAATCCCTTTCGCTGCGATGCTGCCTGTTCACAATGGACTTGTTTTGTTTTCTAGATCACTCTTGTTATCTGGGCTGTGATTCGCATTGGACCAAATGGCTGTGACAGCATGGAGTTTCATGAAAGTGGCCTGCTTCGATTTAAGCAAGTATCTGACATGGGAGTTATACATCCTCTTTATAAGAGCACAGTAGGAGGAAGACGAAATGAAAATTTGGTCATCACTGGTAACAACCAGCCTGTAAGTTACCACGTTAATTAAAATATAGTGTGAATGGGAGAGGGATAGTAGAGTAAAATTCTTTGCAAAACCAAGATATTTATTCTATCAGAAAGATAAGAGTTAATTTTTGGAAATAAAGATTTTCCTTTAGAGAAAATTCATAAATATATTTAATAGTATAGTTAGTCTTACCTGTTAAAGTTAGATGCTTTCTTGATAGTCTAGATTTTGTTCAATACCATTTTCTATGACAGACATAATTTGTATAAGAATACACTGTTTACTTTTCTCACCTTCATACTAAAAACTAGTTGCCGTGAGTCACCTCTGTCTCATGGCCACCCATGTGTGTCATAGTAGAACTGTGGTCTGTTGGGTTTTCAGTGACTGATTTTTTTGAAGTTGATCTCCAGGCCTTTTTTTCTGAAGCAACTCTGGGTGGACTCAGACCTCCATCCTTCCAGTTAGCAGCCAAGTGCGTTAACCGTTTGCACCAACCACGTACTCCACCTTCATAGTAGGAAGACGTTAATAAAGTACCTTCCCAAGTAGAATACCCTGTGCTTTCTGAGAGTCTGGCAGGAAATAGGCCAGTCTATTCACTGGCAGCCCATGCTCAAGTGGCTCCTATAACAGGTTTCAATTGAACAGAAGCTCAAGGAGGTAGTCGTACTTGCTGCGCATCTTAGACCTTAGGCCATGTGTCTTGTGACCTGTGAACTTTTGCAGAGCAGTGTAAGCAAACAAGTATAGAAGCCTTCATTTTAAAGAACTCTTCTCAGGAGGCGGGGCCAAGATGGCGGAGTAGTCTGACACTTCCGGTGAACCATCTTACAATGAAGACCCGAAAAAACAAGTGAATTGATTATATATGGCAATCTGGGAGTCCTGAACATCAAAGGCAGAGTTGAGGAACCGGACTGAGTGGCAAGGGGAGGGAGAGATGGTTCGCAAGCAGCGAGGAGTTGCCAGATCTGACCTGGCAAGAGCCTGAGCCCTTCAGGCCTGATCAGCTTGTGGGTGAGCGGAGAGGCAGGCAAGCACCTGTGCTCGGGAGGCACGTTTTCTGCACCGGGAGATACCCAGCGCCAGAGAGTCTGCACGGCCACCCAGAACCAGTGAGAAGCAGCCCTGGATCTGCGAAAGAGAAGTACTTGCGTACGGCCTACCACGGGGATCAAAAACACCCCCCTTAGGAAAACGCCTCTCTCCCATTTACCTCCCCGCTCCCTGCTCTGCACTGGGTCCCGGACTGGCTTCAGCAGTTGCCGAGTCCCCTGGGCCGGAAGTAGGATCCATCACACGGCTGGAGCCATTCTCCTGGCCTTGGAGAATGAACAAATTAACAAACGGGAAAAAAATAAACTGCCGGCTCCCCTAAACCAGGAACCCAGGGTAGGCACAGCTCCTTTGCCTACGCACAAGCATAAGGGATCCACAGACTTCGAGTGCCTTTCCCCCTGCAAAGACTTGTTTGGGCCCATCTCAACTGCGTAGGCCCTCATTACCGGAGTACAACAGGGTATATACCAGAAGTCTAACTTCAACTGTTTCAGCTGTGAAGTGGCAGCTTCTTGACATTTGACACTGCTCCGCCCATTAAGCAGGGTCTTCACCTACCCACGTTGGGCCTGAGGACTGGTGGCTCCACCCATGCCACCTAGCCACCTGTAATTAAGCGGCCCATGAATAAGAGGTGCCCCCAAGTCCTTACAGCCAACAGCATCAGGTGCTCATAGTCCGGATGCAAAACCCAGCCACCTATGCGCTCTAGAGAACAGGGACACACCTTCCTCCTGGACACTCAGGGGTGGCCGTCAGCAACCTGCCTTGCTCAGAGTGTGTCCCCCACTGCAGCTGGATGCCTGTGCCTATACCAATCACCCACGCCTGTCTAGGACTGGTAAGTGAGAGCCTCCACCCCACACTTGGTGGCTGTCTACCTGGGCACCTGAGCTGAATCCATACAGGAGGAGTGGGCTGACTCCTGAGCTCACATACGTAGTAACAGATCTAACTACCTGGTGACAGGACATTAGCGCTTCAGAGGTGCCAGTAATCAATCTAGCTCATATGAGCAGCCTGTTTGGGCATATCAAAACAAAACAAGCTAGGACATAGTAAGCAAACATAAAATAAATAAATATAATAACTTCTTGATGGCTCAGAGACAACAGTCAATATCAAATCACATAAAGAGGCAATCCATGATGCCTTCAGCAAGCTCCCAGAATAAAGACTCTAGAATAATTTTCCAGAGGAGGAAAATGTCTTCGAATTACTGGAGGCAGAATACAAAAGATTAATATACAGAACTCTTCAAGAAATTAGGAAAGAAATTAATCAAAACACAGAGCATGCAATAGGAAATTAAATACATTAGAGAAGAGCATAATAACCAATTTAACAGGCTGCAAGAATCCATGGGGAGACAACAATCAGAAATCCAGAAGATTAACAATAAAATTTCAGAATTACATATAAAGTCATAAGAGCAGAATTGAAGCAATGGAAGTCAGAATTAGTGAGATTGAAGATAAAGCACTTGACACCAACTTCTTTGAGGAAAAATCAGATAAAAGATTTTAAAAAATGAAGAAATCCTAAGAATTATGTGGGACTCTATCAAGAAGAATAACTTACGAGTAATTGGAGTGCCAGAACAGAGGGGGAAGACAGAAAATACAGAGAGAATTGTTGAAGATTTGTTGTCAGAAAACTTCCCTGATATCGTGAAAGATGACAAGATATCTATCCAAGATGCTCATCGAACC